ACGACACAGCAACATGGAATCTATTCATAACAAATTAATAAGCAAATCATGTCTGTAGGTTATTCTAATCACCTCAGAGTGCTCTATTTATTAATCTGCAGAGTTTGTGCAAGGATTTTGGATGCAAAACAGTGAAAAATTTTGTAACACTGAGAACATGACCAGTTACTCATTTCTACAGTAAACTGGCTCAAAAGAGCATTCTCAGCTTTGGTTACTAAAAGAACAAATTAATCTCTTAAATTTTCAAATGAAAGTACCAAAGAGCAACTGCAGTGCTAAAACCTGTGCTGCATTGCTAAATGCCCCCACCCCATTTGATTTAAGGTCAAGGATAAAACACATTGCCATCTGATGTTCACTATGTGGTAAGAATCATAAAATGGTTCCCAAGATTTGTTAATAGTTGGATACATTCATGGCTAAAAAGATAACAAATACAGGCAAGCACGACGAGTTAAACTAATAGAGAAGAAAGCCTCGATTATCTTCAGAATCGCATTAACTGTGCGATGGGAGCTTCGATACGAAAATATTGCTCCTTCATCGCAAAATTTCCAGGTCGGATTGTTCTCCCTTTGAATTCATACAACTTGCCTTCAAAGAGTCATTGTAAGAAACCATACATGTAGTTGAGAAACGGATAAACTCTACGGCATGGGAAAAAATCTACCTTGTTTGCGCCATTGCGTGGCCTTGAAAATCATAAAAATAACACGTTTAAAAATAATGTCTTAGTTGATAACTTCAACAAAACGCATTGACCTACGAAACTATCTGACTATCATTACGCGTGATCTGCTGCAGACTTTGTACGATATAACAAGGAATACTTGATCTGAACAAGTAAAAATTCGGATAAAAAGTATACCGATATCCATTGAGAGAAATGCTACATCTAAAATAACAAACCTTTGCTAGACTACTTAATCAAAGTCCGTATCAAACCCTGTATTATGAAAAACAAGAAAAACTTCATAGCTGTTCATCACACGAAAGGCAGTTGAGTCGCAACTGTCTGCAAACCTTCGAAATCTTACCTAAACCTAAACCGTGATTTTACCACAGCTCATCAGAATTCCTACCAAAATGTTTTCGCCGATAAAGCAATTCTTCTAGTTTACTTGGAGGTTTAGAAGTCGAACATCCAGAGCTAATCAACCCCATTCTGCGAGAAATCATTTACATTTTCATAAAATCAAACAGCGCTCCGGCGAGCTTGTGTAACTTTACACTCGTGAAATGTTTCGTGTGGAATTTGGTTGCAAACAAGGCGCTTAAATTCTACGAGTACGATGACAGCAGCAATAACCGACAGAACAATACTTTCAGTCGGACATAGATAACTCGACGACACAAGTCAAAGTTCTTAAATATTGAGAAGCGAACAAAGTATTTTTCATCACGCACGTAAGCTTGCTGTGAAAATGATTGCAGCATCGTATTAATTCTAAGTAAAACAGTAATACCACACAGGAAAGCGAAATAACTTCGTAATCTTCTCATTTGCCGAACTATCGTCATGGCTTTTCAGTCTATCACATTTTTTGCCAACCGTGGCTTAAAAAAGAGCCATGTTTACTGCCGATTTCACCCGACCTATCCAAGTGACCTATTTGGCAATTGGATAAACAAAACGCAAAAGGCGTAAAGAAGAGAGTTGAAGCCAACTTTCTCCGCTAAATTATCAGAGAATTAATCTTTATAGGATAGATTTAAGCTCTAAAATGTTCTTACTTATGTAATAACTTACTTTTCTGTCTTTGTTGTTTGTCTGCTGCAGAGTCACTGGGTTAACGACAATTTGCTGTACGGGCATCGTTTTCGCCTCTCGAAACCCGAACATTGAACGATCAGTTCAGCAAGTCCTTCAACCGTAACGCCAAAAATCCCAAAGCCTATACTCCATTTAAATTGAATACTTCTTTTTTCTTGACAAAATCTACCGTAAGATACACAAAATCGAGCGTTTATATGGCGACAGTCTCCTCGACGCTATAGAGAAAAAAGATGGCGGATGTATGAAGCCTAATGTAAAAATTTGTCAGAGCGACCGAACTAACATTGTGACGTTAAAGAAATATCTGGATCGTGATTGGTCAATGGGTAATTTGTTCAGAAATGAGATTCGGCTCAGCATTGGAGCCGAACGCAAACAAGGAAAATTCTCACCAACATCCTGTCTGCAATCTGTCGAAATATTTTCTTAATTGGAAGGCTGTTAAGACTGCACGAATAATCTTATATCTGAAATTCATAGTTTTCGATCCCAAAATCTATTTAAGCTGGTCAAATCTTTCGGAAAATATTGTAAGAAAGTTACCAGTGCTCGAGATTCTGCCCAATACTTCACCTGTTCTTAATGATCTCAACAATCTTTTGGGTAATAATTTCAATCACCCTGTCATATTCAAGTCTGGAGCGACGGCTTTCAATGACTTTAATTTCAAATTCTCTTAAGTTCTATTATAAATTTTTATTTTTTTCTCTTTTTCTTTTTTAGCATGGAGAGGGAGAGGAGGTCCCAATGTAAAGATCAAATGACGTTAACAAGGAAGTTGGTCATTGCCAAGCTGGAATTAACCCAAGGTCCGAACAGAAAATTTTCATTAAATCGTCTTCAAACATCGCTTTTACACTGCCATGTGTCAGTTCCAATTGCGACATATGACGTTGGTTTTATATGAAAACCGCTTTGTAATAAACGAAAAACATACCCTCTATTTTCCCGTCTCATACAGACAGGCTTAGAAAGAAATATGTCAGAAGTCTTGATATGTCAACCACAAAATAGTTTGACCTAATTTTTCGCCGTCCTTCAAACCAATCCCACATTGTTCTATGGTTAATTAGACTTTCCCTCTGAATCGTTTTCACTTCGGTAAAAGAAAAAGATTCCTTTCGCCAATGTAAGCAATATTGGACAGGAAAAATGTTGAACTAACTCAGGTGCTCTATCGGCTTATAACATAAGTCAAATAAGTTGTCACTCAGGAGCTAAAGCTTTTGAAATACTCAGTACACGGTCTAGCATCTCAGGGGGTGAAATTTCGGCCAAACATTAGCAATTTCCAGTTTTAAGCATTGCACCAATACAAAAACTGCACTATCATCGAGCATCCTCATCGAAAACGGCCGGTTTTTTAATCGTCTTATTTAATTTAGAACCGGAAAATTGAAAACTGAATGCGAACTTGCGGTTTGATATGTCTCATATATGAGGCTTCAATATTTACGCATTTTGAGTGGTACTTGCTTAGATCTATTGAGGGACAGATGCAAAGATGAGGTTATCAATAACAGCGTTTTGCTTCTTTATTATGTAAATCAAATGGAGTTTATCGACTACCGCGCATCTGTTCTGTGATAGATCACGGACGACGTCAAAACGCGGTGAGGATATCAGTGACAAACTCGACTGCGCCTCGTGCAGCTCGTGTGCCACTTTTTTCTCTTTAACCGAGCAGACACCAGCAACATGAAATCTATGTATTCATTTTAGAACATTATCCGCCTTAGTATAAGGGAAAATTACAGTACAATTGTTAACCATGTTAGCTTTTGTCGGGTCAGGGATTGTGTCTCATTTGGTCCGTGTGTTTTACTGCTACGGAGTTTAGTGTAAAGGCCGATCTCATGCTAGCTATGAGAGCAATCCCGTTTAGGAATAAGGGGTCCTCTATATGCTTTTCACAATGCAGCGGCAGATCGAGAGTGAAGGTCCCGGGGGGAGTATTCAGAATCCCCCCGCCCCACTCCCCGCTGTGTGTTTTTAATTACTTGACTGAAGCTACAATTCATGCGATGGCAGGAGAGCGTATTACCATTCAACGGAAGCTCTCGATGGGATTAACCGTTAGCCATAAAACGGTAAACATTTCAGCTGTCAGGTGTAAAAATTGACAAATTTTAACCGTTTGTCATAATAAAGTTAACTGTAAAAATTGTTTCTGATAACCGTGACGGAAAGAAATTAATGGTAAGCCGTATAATGGCCAAAATTTCAACCTTCATTACCCCATTGAGTATGTGGTAAAATACCGTTCAAAATTCAGTCAGGGTACTTTCCCTGTCGAAAAATTAATTTTCGTGCCATAACTGAGACCCACTCAATTGGCTGAGGGCGGGCGTGAGTCGCTCAGGATGTAATTTTGGATATCGTTAGTTGTTGTCCCTTTTGTGTCTGCGTGTGCGGGGTTTTTATTTCATTTTTCAATTTTTTCTTTCAGGATGTATTAAAACACTTGATCGTAATATCTGACGTAATGATTAACACCAGCGCTCTTCATAATAATTTAACTATTCAAATGGTAGAAATACAGCACTTGACAACGCAATACAAGAAACCCTTTCTGGGGCTTTTAATAAGTCACGCGTGTGTATTTACCTTAACGTATTTGCTTGCTTTTCTTCTCGAGACACATTTTGTTGGAACAAGACAAAATCAAGAAGGGCTTTTTAATGTTCACTTGCGCCTATTAAGGGCCTATTAATAACATTTATCTTATTTGAATTACCTCGATATAAAAAGTGTTCTTTTTTATTAGGCAAGGTTGTGGGGATGCAAAGAAAATGAAGAAATTTGTCAAAGCTTGAAAAATGGTTCTGTTCTCGGCAAGTAACAGCTCATTCTAAAAATAGGTCTGTTTTTGACCTAAATCATAAACATTGGCATGAATATAATAGGACTTTTACTTCAGTTAAGAGTTCTTAGCTAAAGTAAATATTAATTTAGGTAAATTATAACATTAAAAACTCAAAAGCGCATGGACCTTTCGATTTGAATTGGTTAAAGTTGGTTCGAGCAAAAATAAGGCTTCGACTCTTCTCCCTTTTCACGGGGTGAAATTAATCGCAAAGCCTAGCCTGAATTTTCTACCGAAATATTAAGTTTTATGGTTTGGATTGAAACACTGAGGAAACCACTCAGTCAACACATTATACAGAGTGTGATAAACTTGTCATGCACAGCAAAAACATTGCTAGTTCAGCTTTTATTTTTAATCCAACGAAATATATCTCACGGATAAATTCACAACCCATTTATTGCAGTCCTAACTTGAAATAGAGCCACCGCACCGTTATTTCACACGCATCGTTCAAAATTGTCTTCCTCTAAATGATTCGTCGGTGAATTTTGACGAAAATGATCGGTTACCGAATTCATACTGTGCGTACCAGACTGGTTTTGGTGCTGATACTCGTCCTTCCGAGCCCGGTTGTCTTCGGCCAAAGGATAAGAGGAATTAACATAGCTGGTAAGAATGTTTTTTATCTAGAAAACAGCTAAGGTAGATTTTCAATCAGTGGCAGACAAATGTGACCAGACAAACTCCACATCGGGAGTACATCTCAGTTTTAGACTCTGCACAATATCCTCGGCACGTTATCTGTCAGGGTAATTTAGTATCAAGGGGGTAAGTTTGTAAAGAAACTGTAGTGCTGCGTCGGTGAGAGAGTATATAACAGTCAGCACTAAAAACGGCTGAGAAGAAAAATACTCACAGCATTCCATTCACTCTCACATTTCACTCTCACAACCAAGCAGTTAAATCTATCATTCTTAAAAACTTTGAACTACTTTAAAACGATCAGAGACTACTTGTACTATCTTTTCGCAACCTCCACTAATTTCATTCGAACGTGATTAAACATAGGCAACGTTTTGGTCAGAAGTTCATTTAAAACCAGTGACCAAACTGCAACTTTCAAATGCGCTCGCTCATGATGCATAACTTGTCCTTTCATTCATAACGTGGAGAAAATGTCGCAACCCAAGAGATCCATTAAGATCACTGATCACTTCGCGTGCACCTCCGCCAATGTCAACTGCTGCGTAACTTGCACTTATTGCAAAAAGTTGTACATTGGTGAAACAGGAAGCTAAGACGACGTGGTGACCGATTCCGAAAACACCTTAGCGAAAGAAAGAAATGATAAGGACGCATCCAAACCAGTCGCTATACACTTTTAATCTCCCTAATCATTCTAAGCAGCATATGGCGGTTGTGGGGAAAGACTGCATTATAACAAAAAATGTATTTTTTGACGTTGAAGGCCTAGTTGTATTTCCCGTAAGGTCTCCATGAGTGGCTTACGACCCTTGATTTGTACGTGAGTTTAACTGAACACATTTAAAGAACCATATCCGACACGGTGCATTATATATGTCAGACCTTGACTACTCCTGTCAAGCATCCTCTGAGGTCATCAATATAAATTCATCTTGGCGTCGTAACCGAGACGATACCACGTGACCAATGCGATAAGATGACCGCTGTGACATGTAGTGGCTTAAGACTGAATTAAGCAATTTCTAATCCCCTGTAAAACGTTACCTGTCAATCCAGTAATGTTCGGTAAGCCATAAAAAATTATTACATGGGTCTTTCGCTATGTTAACTTCCTCGCTGCTGAATTAACATAAAATAATCCACGAATAATGAAAGCTGCAACCGAAACAAACCATAACAAATAATGTTAGCTCAGCTGCAGTACACGAAAAGGTTAAAACTTGGGAGGGAACGATCAGAGAGACTTACACACAGCCTTGGTAAATCCGATCGAGTGCTGTCCTCTTAGCGTAAGCCGGCTCGATTTCACTATAATTTAAAAAAAAAAACTGCCTCAGATTGTGTTCGATATCTAAATCTGAATTTTCCACTGGTAACCTGTTGATGAGAATGAAGTACCGGGCAAAAAGTTTTATTTATATCGCGATATTTATCGACCTGTTGCAAAAATGTGGCCGAGCAATCCCAATGAACACAAGGGCGGACCTGAAGATGGAAGACAAACCCGGCAAGGATAAAAAGCCGATACCTCCATGGGCAAAAGCTAATGGACTCGGTAACAATTTTTATTCTTACTTAATCCCGTCCGACTTTTATTGTTGTGATATAACGTGCAAACATTACCGCTACACCAACCATTAGATAAAGAGCACAAGGGCTTAAAAATGCAGAATTATGGAGTTCGATCGGGGGTGCATATGGCTCCTGAGCGCTGTAACGTTCACAAGATGCAAATTATCTTTCGCATGAGGTTGAATATCAATTTTCTCACATTAAGATCTGAGTTTGGGTGTAGAGTGCTTATTTAAGAGAATGCACACTTCCCAGTCTAAGTCAGGGGACAAAATGATCATAGAAAATTGAGAGAATCTCCTTAAATAATTCTCTAAAGGGCTAACAAACATTCCTCGAGAATTTACAAACAGGAGGTGTAGACAAATGTTGTCAGAAATGAAATCACTGTAGCACCGAAACGTCTTTAAAAAAAAAATCCTAAACTGAGGTGGATTTCACCGCTGGCACTGACATATGGCTGGCTGCAAATCAAAGCAAATAGAAAACGAAAAAGCTAATTTTTTAAAACTTTGGAGAGTGGGACAAGGAGAAAGTTTGATTCCCCTACGAGGAAAAGATCCTTAAGACTTCGGCTTTTGTGCCCCATTTTCTCTTCTACTTATCTGTGAAAATTATGTTCCACATCGTCCCGAGCCAGTTTTAGCCAAAAAGGAAAAAAAAGCGCAGAAAATGCGGCGTTGACTATAGCATAGATATGTATCGATTTGTGGTTGCTCGAGAATGCTATGTTGCAAAATTCATTTAAATCTTTACTTTAAAGATTAATACTGCTCTTAAAACTCACTACAGCCAAGTTCTGAGAAATATTGCTGACGACCTGTTTCAGGCAATCCAAAATTCAGTCGAAATATGACAAGGATGTATTTCCCCACGCTTCGGAACGTCGAAAAAAATGTCTGTAAAAACGATTTTTAATAAGGCACAAAACAAACTATGAGGCAAAAGTGTCGTAAAGTTTAGACAGCTTAAATATACATCACCAGATCTGTATTTATTAAAATAAAGATGTTCTTCCTTCAGATGTGTTACTAAATGGCACACTCACCGACACAAGAATTGACGATGAACGCTTTCTTTTAGCTGCAGGAGCTTGCAAAAAAAGATAGAAAAATAGTCTAATCTAAAAAGAAAAGAGAGTAAAATCGGTTCACAACTGAAAACCTACTATCGTGATAAGTTCTATTTTATACTACGCGCTTCTGCTGAATATATTGTATAAAGAGATGTTTCTATCTTCATAAAGGTAACTGATAAATACGTTGATTATATGGTAAGTAAGGGTGAGGTTTATAAGTGGGTTAGGTGACCCCGGCACACTACCATTGGTTATCCATCTTTTACAGCAGTATGGCCACTCCCCTTGGATAGGGTGCTAACACTTGCAGGCTATTTTCAGTTCTCGTCAGGATTATCGGTCGGTATTAAAAGCCATGGCATGCAGTGTCAAACTTTAAGTTTTAATTTAAAAACTTGAGAATTGTTTCCAAAAGCACGGCGATCTGAGCCAAAGTCATTCCTTCGCACTCTATTAAGTCAGTCTAAACTGCAAAGGAATACCACTTTACTCAAGCTTAACCAGTTATAGATATATACAAAAGAGGACTAAGTTCTCTCCTGGTGAAAACCGTGTATAACTTTCAACACCTGTTGTTTCTTTACTCGAATTTCTTAATGCGTATGTAAAATTTCCTTTTCCAGTATTTTGATATTTAAACACACTATCATTTTTCTCACGACTAGATAAGCTGGAGGGAGATATCAAACTGTCACCAAATGTAGAGTCACTTGTCGCAGGTGGCGTGGAAAAGGACAAAAAGGATGAACCCTACGAGAAGGGAGCTGTCACCAACAAGATATATCTGTGGACAAATGGAATCGTGCCTTATGTTATTGACTCAGCATTTGGTAAGATGCCGTCAGGAATTCCAGAGTGAAGAAGCCTTTTTCCCTTTGTGGCGAATCAAAGAGTATTTCTTGATGGTCGGTCGTACACGTAATTGTTATCTTTTCAGATACCGAGCCAGAGGGAGGGTCTGAGGGTCCTAGGGCCTGGCCCCCTCCTTTTTTGTTAGATTTGAGATTTGTTAGATTTTGGTTGCGTCACGTTAGATGTTACCTAGGCCCCCCCCGGTTTTGTCTTATTCTAATGACCCATTCTCATTGGCAATCAATTTTCAATACTCTCCCCTTTATACTCTGTTTTAGACGATTAATCCCACCCTCTGTTCGCTCTGCAAACCATGCGATCCTCCCCCAAAAAAGATACTTCCCCCCACCCCTTTCCCGCGATAAATATTTACTGGTCCCTTACTATCATGGGGAACGAGTTGTACTCTGAGCGGTGCCTTCTCCCAGCAGTATATTTCCCACAGAAATTGTTTGCATTTTTTTTTGTGAATATTGTAACTAGGCTTGCTGAAATGTGTTTGGTTTTTCTAGGTAGGTACTCAAGTGACAGTCAAGCCATAAAAGACGCAATAGCTACTGTAGAACAGATCTCCTGTGTACGTTTCAAAACAAGGACAAACGAGCAGTATTACGTAAAGTTTGTTAGGGGCAATGGGTAGGTGCAAAGTATAATCAACACTGAAAACAGCCGTGACCAAAAACAGAAGGGACAAAAAAACAACAACAGAAACAACAATAACAACTTTGAAATGATAACTTTCCTCAGCGTACACATTCTAGCGGATCCCCATACCTAAGAAACTCGCAAAACTTGTCGACGGCAAAGTGACTTTAATTAATAAGAAAATTCTTTATCTTCGCGTGTTTCATTGACTGGTTATTTGATTTCTAGTCTAATCTAGTATTTCAATGACCAGAAAGTGGCCACCCTGATGATAATTTCTTTCATCAGGATCAAGAAATAAGACACATCCAAATGTTACGCAACTGCATGTCATTCCGAACCCAAATGCACATCATCCATTAGTGAGATGCCGGACTGTAGCGCACAGTGGTCTCAATCTTCAAATTTCATTCTGTCCCGCCAAATCCAATTACTCTTAAAGAACGATGAAACAAACATTCCTTCCATTTTTCAATTCAACCGACATCAAAACAATACCGTGACGTCAAGTTCGCCTGACACGGGCACTTCGTTTGAAACAAGGTCGTATTATTGTCGTGCGGTATGGCAAGGCCAATCGTGTCAAATGGTCGTGCCACACTTGACATGGTCTGGTGACTTCAAAGGTTTCAAACGTCGTGCCATTGCCATTCTTACATTGAGTTCAACCATTGCAACGGTGTGAGGTTTGGAACAGACCTAAACTACTATCACATATTTTACAATCATCCTAAAATCGCTGGAATCATCATAACTTTATGAGAGTAATTACCTAAACAGTAGGTTATATTTTACTTAAGGTTTTCAGCATAAAAATATATATACTCGCCTCATTAAGTGATTTACTCGTTCAACGTTTTAAGAACCAACGTCCCAACTGCAGTTAATAGACAAAAATAGCAGCTGAATATTGAGTCATATTTTAACCATTTAACAAATCGAGATTAAGGGATGGAAATAGTATAAAAGGGCTCATAGGCAAATAATACCACGACATTTTATGATAATAAATATTAATAATGAATGTTTCCTATTTGTATAATAACCAGCTGCTGGTCCTACGTCGGTCAAGTGCACATGTCTGGAGGCCAGCCACTCAGTATTGGAACAGGATGCGGTTTTATTGGGACGGTATTACATGAACTCATGCATGCCCTGGGATTTTTCCATACCAGTTCACGTCATGACCGCGACTCATATGTTGTCGTTATTTCTGAAAATATCATGAAAGGTAAATATATAAAGGGGGTAAGTTTCTAAAGAAACTGTGGTGCTGCGTCGTTGGGAGGGTATAACAGGGTAATTCAGTTTTATCAGCTGAGTTGATAAAGTAAATTGGCTACCGTAAAGAGTTTGAAAGCTGACGTTTCGAGCGTTAGCCCTTTGTAATTCTCTGACGAAGGGGCTAACGTCAGCTTTAAAACTCTTTACGGTGGCCAATTTACGTTATCAACTCAGTTGATAACACTAAATTACTCAAAGGTTTTCGTTCTCTGTCTATAAAAGCGCAAATAAAATGGACAAAATTTCGCCGTGGTTACCTCACCGGCTTGATTAATATTTGATGATCGCTGTGGTTTTTTAAAAACTCTATTGGTAACCCATAAAAGTTATGAGCCTAACACTTTCTTTTCTTTACAGGCTATGAAGCAAATTTTAAAAAATATAACCATGGTATTGTAGACAGGCTGGAAGCACCGTATGATATGACTTCTCTGATGCACCTGCCAAGGAACGCCTTTAGTAAAAATGGTCTGAACACTCTGGAAGCACGTGCTGGACCAAACGTCCCATTGGGAAAAAGAGATCGACTGTCTGAAATTGATAAGGCCCAGCTGAATTCACTATATAGCTGCACAGGCTACCCAAGTTAGTCAATGTTCACGCCGTCCGTTTCCCATTTTTAGTTGGGGAATTGCATGTCAGATAGCAAAGGAATGTGTGCGAGTGTAATTATAGGCAAACGGAAAGCAATTACATCAGGAAATTGGAGCTTTAATTCACATCACAACGAACTAATGAGAACTCTGAAGGGTCTTAAGCGCTGAAAAATGCATTTGACCAAGTTTTGAACTCAAATCACTGAGCGTATGTGGTGCGAATTTGTTTCCTGTTCTTTTTCTTGAATAAAACAAACCAAAATGGCACAGATCGAGTCCGTGAATATAATCAGTCAGCATGAAATCCTGGGTTAACCTCATTTCACTTCAAGGAAAACATTTCTCGGTGTGAAATGAAGGCGTTTAATCATGTCCATGCGCCTTTGGTCTCCAGTGCTTGTATATTTCTGTTGAGCGAAGCTAACTTGCATCCCCCTTGTGAAGCCTCCATTGATTGCAAATTATATTTTTTTTATTATTGTTACAAAAGCACCCGTTTTTTAAATAATTCTAAAATGTTACAACATTTTCTGTAAATTTTATACATACTGTTCCACACTGTAAGCATGCGAAGAGAGAAACATGTAACGCATTCAATTTGCATGTTGGGCATCCTAGTGTGTGGTCTGATTGATTTTTCAAGTAGTCTCTTTATTCCCCGGATAGGTTGTTACAAGGCGTTCGGTATGGAGTCTTTTAAAATCCCCGACTCCAAAATAACAGCCAGTTCATATAAAATGTATTACGAACCTCATCAGGCCAGGCTACATATGCAAGCCAGCGCTTCTGGGGACGGTGCTTGGTGCGCTGGTCAGAATCTACACCAAGGAGAGTGGCTACAGGTACATGATTCACATCACACAATCAAGCAATTTATGAAAAAGTACATTTTGAATGATTAACCAGGGAATGTTAGCTACGAAGACTATACGAAGGGGCAGTGGTCAAATTATTTGTGCCTAAGAATTAAGACAAAGTCTGATTCGAGCCCTAGTCGAAATCATTCCTTTTGTGTTTGAGTAGACTACAAAGCATCTTGTACTCTGGACGTGCCTATCCTTATTCAAGATTATGGAGTGGTGTAGGCGAGTTGTCTTTAAAGTCTGACAAAACTGTAGGGCTGTGGGCAGCCTAAGTGGTTTAGTTCTTATATAACAGCACTTACAGTTACAGATTAATACCAAAACTTCGCTTGGACTAACACCCTATCTAGAAAATTTGCAATACTCTATAGTCGCTAGATGGTACGGACGGGGGATTAACTCCCACAGTTTAAGGCAGAGGTTTCACCCTGCATGCTGGTGATTTTATGTGCTCTCCTTAAGACCTGAGAGGCGAGGACGCGAACGGTTTGGAACTAATTTCTCCTAATTTTTCCTTTCTAAGCCTCTGGCATCTTCACCACTCGTGTTTTTGGCTCCGCCACCCAGCGTTTCAAAGCAAATTCAAAACAGCTGGCCACGCAGAATTTATGACTTCACCAGGATTTATCAACATCCAGTTTTACAACGCTTAAAGCGGAGCAGTGAAATCCGCAAATTTAAAAAATGAATATTTTGTTGTCCTTTTAGCTGAATTAATTCTCTGGCCTGATATGTGTTCTCATTTTTTTATTTTGATTCAGGTGGACCTTGAAGGAAAAAAAGTTGTAACAGGAATTGCAACCCAGGGGAAATTGGGTCTGTTCGTCAACGCGTGGACAACATTCCTTGAATTACGGTACAGCTTGGACCAAAACACATGGTATCCAGGATTTAACGGCCAGGTAAACCGTCAGAGTGAAAATAGCCAGACTAAATATATCTTGTATTTTAAAAGCCATGTTCCTAGAATATCTGCAAAACCAGGTCCACATCGGTACGTACAAGTTTGACCATCAATTTAAGGTCATCATTTAGAATAAGTTCCATCCTGTTTCTTTTGATTTATTTGCTACTGTTAGGTGCTTCATCTGGCAAAAGATTTCTCCAAGGTTCAATCTATTTAAAGCAGTTCTATAGACGTTTCTAAAAGTGTCTCCTTTAACATCTATGTGCTTGCCATTAATCTACACGCGTCACGTGACTGAGTATGCCCTAACGAGAGATTATTAAAAAAAAAAAAAAAAGGAATTTTGGAGAATACATTATCCTTGGTTATTACCTTGAAAGCTCACAAAGAATTTTCCTTGATGGGGAATGGCTTCTCTTGCGTACTCGATTGACATGTCACATTCAGACATTCAGGTCAAAAGAGGACTAAAAGAATGAACGTAAAATTCAAAGTTATTTGTTATGATAAAGATTGCATGTGTGCGAAATCGATCGTTCATGTACAGAAGTAACCTTCATCCATGCCTATTTTGACAACTTAATTTATATATATTATTTTCAGTTAATTTCTGCAAACTTTGACATGAATTCGGTTCAATATAATCAAGCGCCAAAGCCTTTCACCGCACGCTACGTGCGATTTGAACCGATGTTTTGGTACAACGAGATTTGTCTCAGGGTGGAAATATACGGCTGTGACGGTGAGTAAAATATTTGACTTAGACAAAACTTTCTTCGCGTGGTCCGAAGTACCGTGTAATAGCTCTAACCTTAAACAGTGACAAAATTCAAGAAATAGCTAGAGCCCAAATGTAGTAGCAAGAGAAAGAAAAAGTGCGCTGGGAACTTGATGTGTTAGGGTCTGTTCACAGTTGCTTGGCCAGTACAGGAAATGATCTAGGTATTTTTTCAATACGAGGTCAAAACTTTGATTCAGTATACAGAGAATTTTGTTTACACAAGAGCCTAAATAGACTAAAAAATATCTGAAGACAAGTAAATTTAATATACTTCATATTGAGTAGTAAAATGCGATCATAGCGTTGCAAGAATTTTGGTGTCAGACATGTGATTTAAAGTCCATTGATATGAAGGGGGGAGGAAGGTATTAACTCCCCAGACCCTCCCCCTAGACAAGCGCTGTTATAGCAAATGGAAAAAAACGTTATTGGATATGCGTTCCAATTGTTTTTATCATTTTTATCATTTTTCCTTTCAGCTTGATTGCATGCAGCTTCTGTGCCTCCAGAAAAAAGTTTTAAATTTGCCACCAAAACAGTTGTCAAACCCACATTCATCAAGGGCAGTTACTCTCTCGAAACTTTTCAACTCAAATCGTCAGAAACAAACCTCCCCTAAATGGAGGATTAATTTTTATTGACAGTCTCTAAAAAAGGAACCATACCGGCGTCGCACTGAGTGTATTATTTGTGGGCTGTGCCCTTTGGTAACGGGAGTAGTAATAAATATTATTTTTGTTCGTTGACGTATATTTGACATTCCACCGTTATCTTCCAACACATAAGACTATCATCATGCAACCATCCAATATTCAATCTAACATACGCAAACTTCGATGTGTGCAATACAATTAAAAAAAGAAAATAAGGCGAACAGAAAACTTTAGATTTTTACGCGAGAAGATCGAAAAAAATTGTCCAACAGATTCCTATAATTGAATTAGTTTCTTATACGCCGGTTTCTATCTGTCAGCGAAACACACACAAAAAAAAATTCAGAATTAATTTCTTCCTCATCTCTATCCAAATTCTCTGTTTTTGTTTCGTATACTGCAATGTTTCGTTGAATTAACACAAAAAACAAAATTCATCTCCTTCAAAAGGCACGCTTTATTTCTCACAATCGATACATTAACACTCTATTAAAGAAAGACCTATTCTGGAAATCTGTTTTCCTGTTTTGGAAACCCGTTCCAAAAACATCTTTTACGACACTCCTCTACAAACATTCTACAAATATTATTCCATATAGAAAATGTTTCACATTTCATAACGAACGACCTGACCTTAAACTGCTTCACTTCACATTTAGAGATTGCTACTTTTTGCGAATCACTCAAAACCGGCAAACCTCGAACGATGGTGTGTTTGATTCACAAGTTGAACCAGACACGCGTAGTAATTCGTAAAAAACCTGGATGGCCAATCCAATTGGTCCTTGAAAAATGTACGAATGACTACTTAGGGCGTATAAAGTTTGATAACTAAGTGTTACGGTCATCCATTCGATATCACTCTTTGAAGAAAATTGATACAGAATCCAATTGTCTCTTTGTCTTCCTTTCTCTTTTACCGTGAAGCTGGAAGCTTGGTAGTGTGAGCAGTTAAGGAAAGATCATTTGAAAAAGAGAAGGAAGTTGAAAGGCAGACAAAGTAGCACTGAACACACGCCATGAATAGATGTGTTATAACTTAACGCTTCTTTCATAAGTGCCATCCTCACTTAAGTGTCAAACACTTCTACCTAACCAAAAATTAAACGATACAAATTCATACCATACTATTATAGAAAACAGAGAAGACAAACAGTAATTTAATCGTGTAAAAACTTCAGCCGAATTTGCTTTCAGATACAAAATTGCATAGCTAATTCAGTGTGACGACTTCTGAGACAATCGTTAACTGCCATAGTGCTCCTTAACCTTATTTAGAAGCGAATCACACATGGTTTTAGCGTCACCCAAAAGCATGCAAGTGTTGGGTTTGTAGAACACTGGGTTATCCACGTCTGCGTACCCGGTGCCCAGAGTGCGCTTCATCACGATCACCTGTCGATTAAATATGAATTTGGTTACTCAATTTCAAAGCGTTACAGTAGCAACTTGGCTTATACTGTATACTGGCCTATCGAATAACAACGACCTCTAAGCTCAAGTATTCCTGTCTCACATAAAATGGGAGCGTTGTACTCAATGACTACATTTTGTTATGTTACCCAGCTTTAAGAGGAACACGTTATCACCGCCATTTGCAATCTTGCTTAGGTAGAAAACATTGACAAAAGGTTTTGGCCGGCCGCTCTTAAATCCTTATGTAGACATGACGTGGAATAAAAGGGTTGTTTAGCCAGATATCACACAAAAAAAGACAAATATACAAAAAACTTCGAGCAACTCGCCTGCTTTGCCTTCCAAACTTCCAGAACAGGCATGCCCGCGATAACAGAGTTGGGATCGTCTTGGGCAGCGGAGTTGACTGTATCGTTCGCACCGATCACCAGAGCGAGGTCGGTCTCGGGGAAGTCTTCATTAATTTCGTCCATCTCTAACACGACGTCATAAGGTACTCCAGCCTCAGCTGCAACAATAAATTGACACGTGTTATTATTAGCGTCGGTGCATAAATAAAATATTAATATTTTTCCGCGCTATTTCGAGGAAAGTGAACTGGAGGCATTGATTGATTTATGAGTAAAAATCATCTCTTCATAACCGCTAAAATAAGACTGATTTGCTGTAAGCAATAACGTTACATACTCGTGCAAGAATACTGAAAGGAGTTTAAGGCAGACCACCTTTTCAAATGAAGAAATCTTCTGAGCGTTAAGAGTTCCTTCCCTTCTACATGCGCGCAAAGATAAACGAGCTAAACCACGTCAGAATGTAGATTCTCTCACAAACGTTTTCTTTCATCCCTCATGTTTGGACTGCTGCAAAAGAAGACGACTTCCACGGAACTTAAGTTCACTTACCCAGCAATACGTTCAGCTGTCCCGGCATACGTCCTGCGACGGGATGGATCCCGAAGCGTACGTTGAGTCCTCTTTCTTTGAGCTCTTTGACCATGTCAGCGATAGCGTACTGCGCCTTAGCCACAGCTAATCCGTATCCTGGTGTGATGATAACATTCTTTGAAGATGTCAGCATTTCTACGGCGCCTTCCGCATTGATCTCTGTGTGAGTCCCGGTGATCTTTTCCCTTTCACCTGTGCCTGTTACAACAGAAAATAATGACAAGTTAAGATAATTAACTCACCGTGAAATACACGGGGAGGGGTTGAAAAGTCTCCAAGCCGGAGGCTGTCGCAGATGATTGAAGCTTAAAACTAAGAACTGCGAGTCGCTGAGCACGTGCGTCTTTCATGTGTTATTCCAGTTTAACCGGCATATTAAGTAACTAAATAAAAATCGACGCGCGCGCGCGGTACGAGAATTACACCATCATAACTGCTGTTTCCCAACTTCAATAAACAATCCACGGAAGATAAAGCAGATTAACCGTACACTGCATTGAGGCATTTTTCGTATAGGTTGTGGGAAATGAAACAATAGTAATACACCTTGCTTATAATAAACAGTTCCTTCAGTCAGTGACAAAAGAATAGTCCAATCAATGAAGAATGACATTAATAAAGAAATTACGGCAAAGTCTCATAATCGCTCGTTAGTAGATTTACGTCATAATAGCAAGCGTAAATTTGAGACATAATTAAGAGTGAAATGATTCGTTTTAGATTCTAACAACTAATGAATTCTCCTTGAAGTAATGTTTTCTTCTTTGTCCAGCCTTGTTTGGGGATCGTCGGAGGGAAACCAAGAGCGTGTGAACAGCGATCAGGTATTGTTTGACGACTCCAAGGTTACAGAAGACGACTGGGTATTGATTGAAGAAATACGGAACCATGGCGAGTCTGCACACGAAGACAGACGGGTGCCGTCTCTTCAAACCTTGCCTGAGGCCAAGGAATTGCAACTCAGTGACAGCGTAGAAGATAACTCTGCAGCGCCGGGATGTTCCTCACGAACTGATAATACAGATTTGAACGCAACAACTTCTCATGGGTTTTTGTTCGCTGAGAAACAATCAAATATAAGCAACAAGTCATCGCTGGAAATCCTCTTTGCCGAAGTTCAGCCGAATAAAACCGAAAGCAAAGAGATCTCCGACTGCTCGATGAAAACCGACGAAACTGACGTCGGCGAGAAATCTTCGCTGCAATTTCTTTTTGACGAATCGTTCCACGGCGACACTGCAACCGGTGGACAAAGCGCTGCATCACAATTCTTTATCAAACCGATGCCCGATCCTCCAATTATTCAAGTTCCAAGTACTAGCCAACCACAACGACAATTCAACCACAGATCGTACAGCGCCGACTATTTCCGAGGAAATCCCGACGTAGTTGTTGAGCCGACCGTGTTGAGGCGTCGTCACGTGAGTAGACTTTCTAAGCGCTCAGGTGATTCTGCGTCTGCCATGGTTGGTCCAGTTGTGGTTCAAAAGAAAACGAAACTTCCTCCTGAAGGAACTTCCAGTGTGGTGCGTGGAGACGATACAAGGAAGAGAACCAAGCGAGCTAACAGCGTTGCATGCGTGCAAAGCAATAACACTCACGGAAGAAGAAGAAAGCGGACGGCGGACAAGTGTAGTGGAAAAGGTGGCCGAAGAAACTGTTAGCAATCTCCTTTTAACGGATGTTGCGTCGATATTATCGGACATGCTGAGGTGACTTCAAGTCAATCTGCTCTTGGATGATGCCGTATTGCGTTTACAGGTTTTCTAGTGCACTAATTCTTCATACCTTTACCCAGTAATCGAATCAGTGAGTTACACTTTCGCATGTTTAGCCAACCGTTGTCCTTCCTTCTCAATAAAAAAAACCTAAACCAACTTTTCAAAATCGTTCATTGATGACGCTTTAATGACGTAGCCATGCACCCTAGGCCTCGAAATTGAGAAGTTCTATGGAATGGTAAAACTAAGAAAAGTATCCTGATCTTCTCAACCGCTTCGCTCAACCGAGTGTAAATAAGAAAAGGGGGGTAACTTTCTATAGAAACTGTGGTGCTGCGTCGCTGAGGGTATTACAAAATAATTTGGTTTATCAACTAAGATAATAATATAAACTGGCCACCGTTAAGAGTTTCTGAAGCCAGCGTTTCGAAAATTAGCCTTTCGCTTTTTTTTTTACCAAATTATCGAGGATAAACCAGCAAAACTTTCGATTTTGGTAATAGAACCAAGACGGAAAAAAAGTATGGAGATGAAATGCACATCACGGTATTTTCGTGATAAAAGATCAACTTAATTATTCACGAAATAATATTTTGCGTTAGACGAGAGCATAAGAGTTCACCTACAGCCCGCTACAGTTTTACTGTTGAACTATACATAGTGGGTACCGTGAACTGTCGCTTATACAACTTCGTAAGGGGTTTTAGGAGGGCTTATATCTGGAATATGTAAAGCGCTTCGAAACGAGTTCTAGAAGTGCTGATCAAAATAGGATTTGTGTTTATACTGGTTTTTAAATAAGCTTCAATACATCAAAACAAATCAAATTCATTTCAGTGCATTTGGAACAGAATTAACTAACAACAGCAACAAAGTTAGAACATAACAAAACGGAAGCTCAGACTTTTCCTTTTAGGTTCGTCTTTGATAATTGAAAAGAGGTAATAAACTGATTGTCCCAAAATAAGTTTTCAAATTTTCTGTTTAAAGTAGCCCACTTAGAACAAGAAAAGCTAGAGGAGGAGGGGCTTATATCGGGGATGGGTAGGGGGGGGTGTTAACAATCGGATGTATATTTTTGTTTACAGGTAGATGGGTCGGGGTGGGGTGGGTGGGGGGAGGATTATGAGCAACAGTTTACGATGTCTCAAGTTCATCAATAAGAACATTGATTAAAACTGTGCAGACTCACCAGTAGACAATGTTCCGTATCCACCGAACAGAACATTAGCTAAGGACCGATTCATAGCCTTGCACATGATATACGACAGGATTCCTCCAGAGAATCCCACAAGAGCTCCCACGATGGTCAGCAAATCGTTGTTCAACATGAACCCCTCTGCACAAAGGGCCCAACCACTGTAGCTGTTGAGAACAGTGATAACCACAGGCATGTCTGCTCCACCAATCGATGCTGTC